AGAGTTTGCAATTCTATCTCCCTACTACTATGTGTTTTCTCTCTATCCAGGACGGAGCCAAGATTTTTTTTTTTATAGGGGTCAAATAGTTATCTAAATATAAACATTTATTCCATTAAAGTTATTCAATAAATTATTCGTAGCGTCAAATTAGTTATATTTATTTTTAATAAAATCAAAAAAAAATTCTCTTTTTGTTAAATGAATTAGATGTGAAAAAAAATTCAAATTAATTCTACAAATAGAGAGATGCAGATATCTAAAGTACAAAACACCCTAAATCTATTGAGTGTGCATATTTCTCAAATATAGATTCAATGCAACATTAAGCCCTAATCAGAAAATTAAACTAAAATTTAAGTTTAAGGTTCCATTTTCTCTTAACCGAGCTCATATTCATAGTTTTCCCATAAGCTAAAAGTTAACTTAATAACTATAATAATAACATAAATGAAAAAAAAATTTCTCTTATTGTACAAGGATTAAGTTGATACTTGATAAAAAAAATGATATTTTATTCATAAAACATTAGTTAACATGCTAATCACGTCAATTTTATAGATTATTAGTTTTGACACTAACTCTGACCTATTTATTATTTGTATTAGTAAGTCATTTTATTTTTAAGTTCATGTTGAGAAATGACCAACCCTCTCTCACTGACTTCGTATCAATTTCGAGGAATATTTTTGTTCAAACTAAGAAATTATCACCCTTAAGTCCTTCATTTTCTTCGTAGCTATGTACTCTCAAGTTCAATTCATTCGATACTTTCACATTAAACTGTCAATCTTTTTCATATCGTTCCAATTACTATCATATTTTTCACATTGTACTTTTAATTTTTGTTTACATTATCCCCTCAATTATCAATTTACTCACATTACAACTTCAACTATGTTTTAAGTTTCAGATTGCCCTATTATTATTGTCCCTTACAAATGTGGCAAAAAAATATTTCACTTTTCCCCCTCAAAAATTAGTAATTCAAGGAATAAAATGAAATTAAACCCTTAATAACGGGGGTCATAGTGTAAAAAGATACATCAACTATGCATCAAACCCAAGAAAAAATAAAAATTATCATGCATCATTCTAGATCACGTCGAAAATAAGTAAGTCCAATGAAATTTACAAATAGCTAGATTCATTTACAAGTTTAACACTAATTGACAGTTACCTAACGAACTCTTTTTTTTTAGCTGGATTTGGGATCAGTTATCTAAGAGAGAGACACTAAACACGATGCCGGCGAAGCTACGGAACCTTTCACAAAAATGCAGCAACTGTTCTCTCTGCAAATTATTTGTACTCCTAGCCCACTGGTCTGTTTATGCAAAATTGACAGAACATTGAAGCAGATCTCCTCAAAAATACTTTTTACTTTGCGCAAAAACCCAAAAACTGATGAAACCGCTCTTGCATTATGTACGGTGACTTTTGCATAATAGATAAATTGACAGGTCTCTCACTTGATTAACTCGAGATTAACTGAAAAGTCAGTGGTCCCGTAACAAATGGGTGTGAGAGATGGTGTAAGGAGTGGTGATAAACTATTTTTCTAATTGTCTGGAAGATCTAAACTTATCGAGATGAGTCCTGTCACTCAAAGAGAAAAGTTAGAAGGACGTCAGAGTATTTTTCGATGTGACTCTTCCGACGATCAAGTCAGTACGTGAGAGGGGTGGAAAATCAATATTCTATGTGCTTGGATGAGAATTTGTGTACCTTAAACTTGGGATTGAGAGAGCTGCTTGTACCTCTATGAAGTCAATCATTGTAGACAATTCAGTCCCCTAGAGGGAAGGCTCCTCATTGGCTCATTTGGAAGGCAGAAGGTGATGCTCAATCCTCGAGCAACAAGCCTTTCTCTTTACATGATGAAAACTCTCACATTTAATGCTCGGGTCCTCCTAAGCTCACTGAGTAATAAATGCTCTTTATTCTTTTGAGGAAAACATTTATTGTGACCTAGTTATGGTTGCGCATGTGCAAGACACTTTTGTCCATCACCCCTCTAAAGAGCTAACATTTTAAAATTTTATACTTTGTACATCTTTATCATTGGTTATTGAACTATTTTTCTTGCTATTTTGACCGTCTTGGAAAGAGGGAGCCGATCATTGACAACCCACTCTGCTTACAAGTCACGATAATCGTTAAAAACTCTTATCCATGCTTTGTCGGCATGGAAGACTTGATGCCGAGGTGATGTGTCATGTAGAGAGTGCTCTGTAGACAAAATGCTGACGATGAGTGTCATCCAAAGAATACTCCGCAGACAAGATGTCAAGAACTCTGAGGACAAGATGCCGATGACGCGTGTCATCCGGAGAACACTCCGTGGACAAGATGCCGATGATACATGTCATCCAAAGAATACTCCATAGACAAGATTTCTCAGGACGTGTGTCATCCAAAGAACACTCCACGGATAAGATGCTGAGAACTCCGCGGACAAAATGTCGAAAACTCCATGGACAAGATACCGAGGACATGTGTCGTCCAAAGAACATTCTATAGTCAATATGTCAAGGAAACGTGNAGCGTCAAATTAGTTATATTTATTTTTAATAAAATCAAAAAAAAATTCTCTTTTTGTTAAATGAATTAGATGTGAAAAAAAATTCAAATTAATTCTACAAATAGAGAGATGCAGATATCTAAAGTACAAAACACCCTAAATCTATTGAGTGTGCATATTTCTCAAATATAGATTCAATGCAACATTAAGCCCTAATCAGAAAATTAAACTAAAATTTAAGTTTAAGGTTCCATTTTCTCTTAACCGAGCTCATATTCATAGTTTTCCCATAAGCTAAAAGTTAACTTAATAACTATAATAATAACATAAATGAAAAAAAAATTTCTCTTATTGTACAAGGATTAAGTTGATACTTGATAAAAAAAATGATATTTTATTCATAAAACATTAGTTAACATGCTAATCACGTCAATTTTATAGATTATTAGTTTTGACACTAACTCTGACCTATTTATTATTTGTATTAGTAAGTCATTTTATTTTTAAGTTCATGTTGAGAAATGACCAACCCTCTCTCACTGACTTCGTATCAATTTCGAGGAATATTTTTGTTCAAACTAAGAAATTATCACCCTTAAGTCCTTCATTTTCTTCGTAGCTATGTACTCTCAAGTTCAATTCATTCGATACTTTCACATTAAACTGTCAATCTTTTTCATATCGTTCCATTAACTATCATATTTTTCACATTGTACTTTTAATTTTTGTTTACATTATCCCCTCAATTATCAATTTACTCACATTACAACTTCAACTATGTTTTAAGTTTCAGATTGCCCTATTATTATTGTCCCTTACAAATGTGGCAAAAAAATATTTCACTTTTCCCCCTCAAAAATTAGTAATTCAAGGAATAAAATGAAATTAAACCCTTAATAACGGGGGTCATAGTGTAAAAAGATACATCAACTATGCATCAAACCCAAGAAAAAATAAAAATTATCATGCATCATTCTAGACCACGTCGAAAATAAGTAAGTCCAATGAAATTTACAAATAGCTAGATTCATTTACAAGTTTAACACTAATTGACAGTTACCTAACGGAACTCTTTTTTTTTTAGCTGGATTTGGGATCAGTTATCTAAGAGAAAGACACTAAACACGATGCCGGCGAAGCTACGGAACCTTTCACAAAAATGCAGCAACTGTTCTCTCTGCAAATTATTTGTACTCCTAGCCCACTGGTCTGTTTATGCAAAATTGACAGAACATTGAAGCAGATCTCCTCAAAAATACTTTTTACTTTGCGCAAAAACCCAAAAACTGATGAAACCGCTCTTGCATTATGTGCGGTGATTTTTGCATAATAGATAAATTGACAGGTCTCTCATTTGATTAACTCGAGATTAACTGAAAAGTCAGTGGTCCCATAACAAATGGGTGTGAGAGATGGTGTAAGGAGTGGTGATAAATTATTTTTCTAATTGTCTGGAAGATCTAAACTTATCGAGATGAGTCCTGTCACTCAAAGAGAAAAATTAGAAGGGCGTCAGAGTATTTTTCGATGTGACCCCTCCGACGATCAAGTCAGTACGTGAGAGGGGTGGAAAATCAATATTCTATTGCTTGAATGAGAATTTGTGTACCTTAAACTTGGGATTGAGAGAGCTACTTGTACCTCTATGAAGTCAATCATTGTAGACAATTAAGTCCCCTAGAGGGAAGGCTCCTCATTGGCTCATTTGGAAGGCAGAAGGTGATGCTCAATCCTCGAGCAACAAGCCTTTCTCTTTACATGATGAAAACTCCCGCATTTAATGCTCGGGTCCTCCTAAGCTCACTGAGTAATAAATGCTCTTTATTCTTTTGAGGAAAACATTTATTGTGACCTAGTTATGGTTGCGCATGTGCAAAGACACTTTTGTCCATCACCCCTCTAAAGAGCTAACATTTTAAAACTTTATACTTTGTACATCTTTATCATTGGTTATTGAACTGTTTTTCTTGCTATTTTGACCGTCTTGGAAAGAGGGAGCCGATCATTGACAACCCACTCTGCTTACAAGTCACGATAATCGTTAAAAACTCTTATCCATGCTTTGTCGGCATGGAAGACTTGATGCCGAGGTGATGTGTCATGTAGAGAGTGCTCTGTAGACAAAATGCTGACGATGAGTGTCATCCAAAGAATACTCCGCAGACAAAATGTCAAGAACTCTGAGGACAAGATGCCGATGACGCGTGTCATCCGGAGAACACTCCGTGGACAAGATGCCGATGATACATGTCATCCAAAGAATACTCCACAGACAAGATTTCTCAGGACGTGTGTCATCCAAAGAACACTCCACGGATAAGATGTTGAGAACTCCGAGGACAAAATGTCAAAAACTCCATGGACAAGATACCGAGGACATGTGTCGTCCAAAGAACATTCTATAGTCAATATGTCAAGGACACGTATCGCATCACCCTTGATCACAGAAAACGTCCCATCACTCCAAGTTTAATAGTCACCGCCGGTGTTTAACTTGGTTGTTGTTCTGCAAATCCTTGACTTGAGGAAGAGCAAGTGTTTCATTGTTTCCAAAACCTGTTAATCCGATCGCTACTGCTTCAAGAGGCTGGTGAAGGAGAACACACACTTTCAACCGAAGCTCAGCATTATCTGCGTTACGGTTCTGCAAATTGTTGATGTGTATCCAACAACCATCATTCACACAAATTCCCAGCAATGACAGAAAATAGAATATAGAAACAAGGGAAACCTGGTGAATGCTTCTTGGCAGAAAATTTTCAAAATCCACCTCGAAAAAAAGGAGGCTAGAGTGATGTTGAAGAAGAAAGTACGAACCATGTTGCAACACCATCAAAACAATGCTTCAAACAGATCCATAGAATAGATTGAGTTTTTGCTGAACCAAGGTAATTCAACTGTGGAAACATGATGCTTGTTCCCATGCCCCCTTTGCCAGAGGGTCCCAGTAATTTTTCATCCGAAGCAAGTCATTGATAAGTCTAATAGTCATTGAGCTCGATGGTAGCATACTAACTTCACTAACTGCCTTTGAAAAACACATTAAAAAGCAGACCCTACTTTTTGTGCTATCAACTAGTAAAAAAAATCTCTCCGGTACTTGAATCCAAGTGAAAATGCAACTTCTTCCTGGAAGGTCATCCCTTACTCCATTCTTTCCTAAGTTCAAGAATGACGGGATGAGAGACTTCCTAGAAGGGCATCCCATATTCTATTCCTTCCTAAAATTAGGAATGGCGAAATGACTACCTTACTAAAAGGACATCCCTTACTTCATTCCTTCCTAATGTCAGGAATGGCAGGATGGATGGAATTCTTTAGTAACACGGTCTGATTAGCACCAACATTTGCCATGTGGGAAAAAACGCAGGTGCCATGATTGATATCAAATCAGATTCGGATGTTACACAAAAAGCTAAGTGAACAAGGGAAAAAATAAAACAGAACCCTAAAGTTCCATCACTGCCTTGTGCAAAAACACTAACTTAAAAAACCACAATCAGCTAGGCCAACAATTGGTGATATCAGCAAGCTGCCTGACGTTCAACAGATATGTTCACAAAGGACTTTTCTTCTTCATATTATTTCAACCAAAATATAATTTCCCGGCCAGCAACTTCATGGGTTAGCGAAAACAAAACAAACAGCTGAAGGAAAAATTGTCATCCATAACATATGAATAAATAAAGATCGGGGTCTACATAGCTTGGAGTAGGACAAAAGCAGCAAAAGAAAAACTTAAGTAAAATTTACATACCAAGGCACAGCTACCACATAATAAATATTAGTAAAAGGACAACATCCCCTTCTCAATTTTCAAATGACTCCTTATGTACTATAAAATTCAACAAGTGGGTATTGATGGAGGCCATAAACAAAGAACCAAAGAAAAAGTTCTTACTCACTGTTCTGGAATGCTACAACCTGTGGAGTACACCATAAACACCAGGATTGATCAGATGTACAAATCAAGACCTATAACCCTTTTGGGCACCTTTTGCAACAAGGAAACTACATTTATCTTAAGACATGTTTGCTAATTTTCTCAACAATCTCTTGTGGATGTAACGTTTTCAAACAAGCTTCAGAAGGAAACATCAGGGGCGTGTTTGGTTTAGTTTTCGAAAACTGTTTTTTGTTCTCAAAATTTTAAAAACACCTAAAACCTTTTTGCTTTAATTTTTCCTGAGTTACGTGTCTATCACAGTGATTCATACTTGAATTTGTTTCGGAAGTTAATCATCTTCAAAGTTTTCATGTATTTTCACCCCAAAATGGAAAGTTTGTATTTCCATATGCACAAACGGGTAAGAATGAAGTCTAGGTCCAGCCACCATATATGAGATACTTTCTCTCCTAATAAGCCAAACCACAAAAGCAGATTTCCACGCTAATGAAGGCCATACCAAATTATAAACCTTGAGCCATGACTTTAGTTCAAGGAAAAAGATCAACCTTATTGATCAGCTTTTAAGGAAGCTGCTGACAATTGAAGTGGTTCTTTTCTTATTTCTGGAAGAAGCATCCTAAACATTGAACTATGACCTCATTCTCTAGAAATTTGTTAACTAAAGTCAACAGCTAACACTGATTACCAAAGTCTAACCATCTTCACTTCTACAAACTATGATCAGCTATCACATCATTGCAAACCAGACAACTAGATGCAAGTTTTTCACTCGCTGTGTCTGACTCCTCTGATGGTCTTAATGTTTAGGGTGAAAATGAAGCCGTGCATGATATGTGAACACAACATGGACCAAATTATTGTAAAGTCGAGCAAGTAGACATCATTGCAAGTAGAATTATCTTGAAGCATAACCTAAACCCAATTACCACTAGTTACCCGATTGTATGAGTAGAGCCATATATCGACCATTAGTTGTCTGTTTCACATTCATGATCATTGACTTGGATACAGTCAGTCAAGTGGAAAGCAGATTCTTAACCAGAGGAACTTTTAAGGATGGTTGGAATATCAAGCAGTCCATAATCAGTCAAAAGGAAAGTAGTTTCTTAATCAGACAACATCCTTTGGGAAGAAATTTTTAGTTACTACAGATACTGATTCGAGCTGCTAAATGCAAAAGACAAAAGGTTTAGAGGAACTCCTAAATTAATTCAAATCAGCACAGATTCAAGTTGTTCTTATTGAGACTACATTTTGGTTACAAATTTTTGATTATCTAGAGGGAGCAAGAACGAGATCCATCTTTCCTACCATCAAACAGATTATAAGTAAATCAAACAAACATGATATTTTCACAAGTNTTATTGAGACTACATTTTGGTTACAAATTTTTGATTATCTAGAGGGAGCAAGAACGAAATCCATCTTTCCTACCATCAAACAGATTATAAGTAAATCAAACAAACATGATATTTTCACAAGTTTTTACAGATTAAGGCTCATCATCGAGGGAATAGTGAATTTTTTTGCATCAATTTTTTTTCGAAAGTTGGAAGCTTATTTCTTAGAGATTCTCGAATTTCACCAGTTTATTTCTCTTTGTAAACTCACACAAATCCCTGCGATGATCACTTCTTAAAAACAATCAACGAGACAAAGGCAAGCGAAGACAGAAAATGTATGTAACAATTTCAACACAAACTTAACAGAAAATGTATGTAACAATTTCAACACAAACTTAACTTGAAAGTGCTTTTGCACAACTTTGTGACTCACAAATTCACAAATGGGGAAGCCAGAAGGCAAGGCATGGAATGCAGATAAATGGAACAGAACTCATGATGTATCATTTCAACATATTAGTTCCACTCGAGTTTTGTGATTTTGTCATAAAGTTGGAAGATTATAACAAATATCAAACGCAGATCCTCCAAAGTTTTCTCCTAATGTGCCATTCAGTGCATTCTTCTTAAAGTATGCTGATCTGCTTAAAGCAGAATAAAATTAAACAAAGCATTCTCCTTAAAGTAAATAAGAAATGGTAATAATCAACATTTAGCAAGATTTCCTACAAAATTTCTCATGCAATACTGTTACGAGAATGTATCTGCTTAAAAGATACAAGAAGCAACAAATTGACACCTATCACAAACCAGGTGGCCTATGTAATAGAATTTATAAACTCCAATTTAAGCATTACTCACTTTCTGAAGGACAACATGTATGCATCGAAAAAGGATAAATTCTTACTTTATTGCGTCTTTATTTTCTTAAATTTGTACAAAAGGGAATCTATAGATTTTTGTATCCTGGAGCTTTCGGCTTGCCCCACTGCCTGAGATGCCTGGTGTAAACTTTGAATCCCACGACCCAAACTTGCAATTGAGGGAGCTGCAGGAAGGGATTCAGCAACACATTCAATTCCATCTCCATACGCAAGCAAGCCTGCACAAGTAGCAATACTACACCCGAATGTAGCCCACGGCAGAAATCCAATTGGCCGAACCCGCCGGTTCCTCATTATTTCATAAAATGCTGTTCTCATTGCCGAAAGGCTGGTCTTCTCAGCAGAGGCTATAACACTGTGAGCCACAACACGAATCTTCTCAGCAGAAGCAGTTGCCTTCAAAACAGATGTTGATTTGAGTCCAGAATTTGCAATTCCAGAGGCTACCAGTTTTGAAGGACCAAGAGCCTTGCCAAACACAATAGTAACAGCCTTTTGAGTCTGAGTCATCATAAGTTTAAGAGAAGCAGGAACTTTGAAGGTGACAAGCTTCACGAAAGTTGATGCAGGAACAACTTTAGAGAGAGATGAAGCTCCTAAAACTGCTGTTGCTCCTGCCCCAACAGCCACAACCGGTTTATTGGACAATAATCGCTTTCTATCATTATGGTTTGGAGTTTCCCCCTCATTTGCACAATTAGTGACCAACTGTTCAACAATATCCTTGACCTCTGGTGGAACCTGAGTATTCCAATGTTTCCTTAGACCAGCTAAGCCACTAGCATCAACAATCGCTACAATGGACTTAAACTTCTTCGTCTGGCTTCTAAGGGCCTGCGCAAGAAGAGCATGTGACTTATCATCAACAGGAAGCTCGGAAAACTCAGCTTTAGTTAAGCCAGGGTTCCTCATTTTGTTGATAGGGAGCCTACTGGCATTATTTAGAGCAATTCTTAGTCCCTCGACTGCAATTCGGAAGATATAGATTTCTGATAAGAATTGGGTATCAACAACTTCTCCCCGACTCACATCATAGAGGATCTTCTGTGCATGAGCTAGAGCCATACCAATTGAGGGTATGTCAATAAAAATATTATACAAATCAACAAGCAAGGGATAAACAGTTTGGGCAAATTGCGGGGCCTCATAATCCTCTTTCAGTTGAATATCTCTGGAACCCACATTTGGAACAGAACCTGAATGAATTAAATATGACGATAACGACCTCACCATCTGTGACTGATACTCATTTGGAATACAAAACCTACTTGAGCTTGATGGAACTACAAAACCCATTTTTTGTGGAACTAAACTATTCAGCTGTAATGCTAAAGCTTGAAACTTGTTCCCCGACTCGGCTTCACCCGAGGGATTAAAACTATCGTCCGCACCAGATTTCACCAATGGCGACTCAAGAAACAAGAACGATGAACCAACTTCTTGAGCCACCCTTCTGGCTGCCAAGAAATGCCCATGAAAACTGATTCCAAAAATCTCCCTCAAAACCAAACTCCCAGCTACGTTCTCATACTTCTCTTTATTTAGCTTTTGAACAAAACACCTTTTCAACACTTCAAACGATGAAGTGGGAAGTGGGTTATTTCTATCACTCCTAAATTCAATTTCTTCGGACTGAATCTCATTCAGCGCGGAATGACCCACGTGGGCCACAACAGCATCGGGTCTAATTTCTCTAATAAGATACTCAGCATCCAAAGCTGACCTCTCAGATAAATTCTGAACACACAATATATATATCACAGCCTGTGATTCGGGTTCACGAATGGCAAAAACAAACTGTTTCGTGTGTTCAGGTACCNTACTCAGCATCCAAAGCTGACCTCTCAGATAAATTCTGAACACACAATATATATATCGCAGCCTGTGATTCGGGTTCACGAATGGCAAAAACAAACTGTTTCGTGTGTTCAGGTACCGATAGTTTCCTAACTAACCCATCTGATACACTCAAATCATCAAACTTTAAAGCCGAAAAAGGCCATATATTTTGGATATAATAAAAAACCCCCATTGCCCTCGCATAGGGTATTGATTGATATGTGATACACAGTAGCTCTGTTCACTTCATCGGAAAATATCTACACGAAAAAAAAACCCACTTCGACCCTACAATCAATAAGGCTTTACCACTAAAAACAGCCCTCAATTAGAGCATGAACTTACCAAACCACTGAAACCCAGTTTAGAGGCAAGTCTATTATTCAATCGGTATCAACCGGATATATCAGAAGATCAAGTTTAGAGCAAATTACTTCGAAATTTACTCGGAAAGTGGAAAAATCGGAAGGGAAAACATGATGCTCTAACCAAGAAAAACGATAATAGTTGATTGAAGATAAATAAACGTTTTACACATCAAAAAACATATATGTATCTGTACAATTATAGAGTTATACTTTTACAGGTACCTGATGTGAATAATGATTTAAGGACACCCAGATGGTGAAGGAAGAGGATGATGGGAAGGGGGAGGACTTTTGGGTGAGATAATCACAGTTGATGGGTTCGTTGCCTTCTCTGGAATGCTCTCTGGTTCTCTGAAACATTTTTTAGGTTCAATATATTTTATACTTACTGAGTTAATGGGTCAATAAAATTATAAAACTAGCAAGGAAAAATTACATTTTGACCCTCTAAACTATAGAATTAATTTTACTTTGCTCCTTAAACCATTTTTGTCCCAATTGCGGACGTGTCTGAAAAAAGTGAAAAACATACATAGTTCTAGAGGCAAAATAAAATATTTTTTTGTTAAATATATAACGAATATTAATAATTAGGCTAATATAAAATTAATCATATAGTTTAGAATATAGCATGAAAAATATAATAATTAAGTAGATAATATAAAAAATATGATAGTTGAGAGATCCGAATAAAAAAAAAAATTCATAGACGAGAGAGTGAAATGCAAGTTTTTTAACTAGTAAATAAACTTGTCGGAAAAATAAAAAGAAGAATAAAAGTAGTAAATAAATCACTGCAAAACCAGTGAATAAAGTTTCTTGGTCTGGGCCTTACCGGTGGACCCTAAAATTTACGTTAAAAACATTAATGGATTCTTTAGAAGTCGGTATACATAATTATACTTATTTGATAAAAAATATATAAATAAAATATTTTAGAAAAAAGTACACAGTTGAGATACAAAGATGTAAATGACCATTTTAGGGTCATTTAATTTAAAATTTCTTATTTTTAATTCACCTTGATTCATGTATATTTGTTAATACATATAAATACGTTTATATATAAATATATACTTGTTTGAATTTATATACATATATATACTTGTTATTAAATCAAATATTCATCTCCATATCTAACTAACTAAAATTCCCAAAATCAAACGAAAAGAAATCCTTAATGTTACATCCAAATCAAATTAATATACTTTGACAACTAACTAAAGAACACCTATGCCGCTATCAATTTATTAGAGTTAAAAAATTATAAACTAAAAAAAATATCTCTAAACGTCCAGTACTTTTGGATCCACTTCATGATCCACCTTAACATTCTAATTTATCTGCTCACCTAGCCTAAGACCTTACTCAATATCGAAATCTGATAAATGTTATATCATAAGATGAGAAAAAATATCAATAGAAAAACCCTCTCAAATCCAAAAAAATTTAGAAATAATAAAAATAAGTAGTTCTTAGTTATAAAATAACATATATGGTTTTGAGATAAAGTAATGACATTAAATAATGATCTCAAATTTATGGTACAAACCAATAAAGTTTATAATATAATAGTATCACTTAAACAAAAACAACAATTCATACTATAATATCTCTTGTACCCATGTTTTGTTTTTTTTTTTTTGATCAAATCATGTATGCAAGTTGCTTGTATAAATCTATATACCGAACTTATCTCGTTCACCCACTACAAATACAAACTATCTCAAATCAATCCCCGCATAACCACAACACTTTAAGAAATGCGTATACCGATGTATTAACATTGATGTATTCTTTCTTATGAATAGTATATTAGTCCCTATCCTTGAACCTATGTGGACAAATAGTGATTAACCCTAGCAAGAAACCAAATTCTATACGAGTGTTAAATAACCATCAAATCCCTTAAATTAGAAAAACCTACAACACTTTACAATACGCATTCGAGTATTACCCACGTTCATTACACTTACCCATACCAAATATAATAACAACACTTTTTTTTTTCCACAAAAAACCACGTACATCAAAATCTATAGTTCCACAACCCTCAAGTAAAAGAATAATTGAAGCAAAACATGCAAGAGATCTTAAAAATAAAAATTCATATTCACCATATTCAAGATCTAGAGTTTCAATAAAAAAAAAACATATGATTTTGGGATGTAAAATATGTAATTGGATGTAATTTATGTATTTATTCAATAATTTAACCATATATTAAAAAACAATGTAAAAACTTTATATATCTATCACATATATAGAATGGAAGTCAATAATTAGGTTTTTCAATCACGAGCGTATAAGCAAATTATATATTTTATTAAAGAAATGAATCATGGATTCAAACGAACGTAAAAACATTGTAGACAAGGACAAAGCCAAAATACAATGTTAGGGGGCAAAATTTGACTAGAAAATACATTGGCCGAAAACAAATTAAATTCAAGCATGACACAATATATTAAGATTTAAGACTCAACTAATGTATGATACAGTAAAACTAATTTTTATCTATTCTAAATGAAATCGGAGTAAAAATCATATAAACTAATTTTTTTCGGTGGAATACAACGATCTTTTACATATCAAAGATTATTTACAATAGATTAACTGGAAGCTATATTTCTTTGTCATTCTTTTTTGATGTACACAACTATCGAGTCCGACACAAAATTTTCATTTATTTTGTGCAAAATAATTCTAATAAAAAAATATTATTTGGTCAATATTAACTTTATAATTTTTAAAAAAAAAAAAAACGGATGATGCACTAGATCAAAGAGAAGTATTAAATTGGCTCAATATATACAGGTCATAACATTTAACATATGTTTTATACAAGCAAAAAATAAAACACTTATTTTAGGGGTATGTCCTTAAATTACAAAAAATTAAACAAATTAAGAGAGGGTAAATATATTAATTAAACAAATTTATGGCGCATATATAAAGGTAGTTCAAAATTCAGGGGAAAGTGCCCCCCTCAACCAAATGTGGCTCCAACCTCGATCGTAGATATATTATTTATATCATAATAAGGATGAAAAAAATATAATATATAGTCTTAATCATCTATGAATAAATCTAAGAAAGAACTCTTACTTTAATCCACAGATAATTGATCTTAACATGTCTTAATGAGATTACCATGCATTAATCCTTTATGATTTAGCCCGTTCTTCCTCTTTTTATTTTTCTCAAACTTTTATAGGTTTCTTGGGGTTGAAAAATATGTAAAGTCACTTTACATATTGACCCTAAGGTATTTATAGGTTGAAAAAAATGAAGAAAACTCTATAAATCTAGCGCTGCTATTTTTATCAATGCGTCTAGATGGTACCAACTCTTTCTTTATACTTTATTTTGATGGTACACACAATTTCATTTTCGAGACAAGCGTCCAAAGGTTGCATGGGGCATTTGAATTCTGAAAACTTTATATACAAACTTGCGGCTCCCTTTTAACCTAGTTAGAAGTTGATTCAAGAAATTTTCATACTTTTGTAACCCTTGAAGTCTAGTTTCTACTGTCCAAAAATCAGATCACTTGGAAGTCGGGGTAAAAAGTTAAATCCAAAATACTATAGGTATTGTCAAATTTATTTTTACTTGAATTCTCTCCAAAATCGGGTATAAGTCCAAAATACTTTCAAACTTCTAATATACTCTATATCATCTCTTCCAAAATTTATCAAACTTTAGGATTCAATGTTAGCCTTATTTTGATCTTGAAACATACAAAAACTTACCTAGCTATCATTTTCAAGCTTAAATACATTCAAAACTAAATTTAACTCAAATGTTAATACGCCCAGAATACAAACTTTATAATCAATCTTTTAACAATAATTCGAAATTTCTATTATCCTTTTATTCATTTGAAGAGAATTTTTAAGATGATATTATATTTATTTAATTATAGTATAGGGCCTTACATTTCCCTATTAAGTTCGGGTTGTTATGGTAACACCACCCAAGCAGGGGTTCCACCCCGGTTGCCCCTCTAAAACCCATTTTCTTTTTTTATGTTTTTTCAAAATAAAAATAATATTTTTTACCATTTATTTTTAATTTTTTTATTGTGCAATCTTATTTTCTTTCTCTTGC